ATATAAATTAATTAACACTTTGTAAAAATTCTACATGGAACAATTTTATTATAGTATAATATATTGTATACACCTTTATAAGTATATATTATCATGTACTTCATATAATACATAATATTTTAATGTGGTATATTATATTTTATGTTAATGGAGGTCAGTTGTGGAGTTGAGCAAATGAGAGACTGGGAATGAGAAAGCAGAGAAGGAGGAATTCATTCTCTCTGGTTTAGTATTGTGCTTCAAAGCTGGAAATGAAATACAACCTACTATTTGTACACGTGAACTAACTGACTAACTAACTTGGCTTAATTTAATCCTAACTAACTCCAGCTCATTGATAGAGCTGGCTACTGCTGCTTAATAGCTTCTAACTAACCGCCTCAACACTCCCCCTCAAGCTGAGGGATGAAATATGTTCTTCATTCCCAGCTTGCTCACCGGATAATCATGTTGTGATCTGCAAAGCATTTTGTAAGTAAGTCAGCAAATTGATCCTTAGTCCTAATATGTTGAGTTTGTATCTGCCCTTCTTGAATCTTCTCTCTTACAAAGTGACAGTCAATATCAAAGTGTTTTGTTCTTTCATGGAATATTGGATGAGTTGCAATCTAAATTGCAGCTTTACTGTCACAAAATAGCTGCATATGCAAGTTTACTTCCACTCCAAGCTCTTTAAACAGCCCAATTAACCAAGTGATGTCAGCCACAGTTGATGCAATGCTCCTAAACTCTGCTTCAGTAGAGCTCCTGGAGACAGTACTTTATTTTTTTGATTTTCAGGATACCAAGGCCTTTCCAAACTTCACCATATAGCCAGTTACTGATTTCTTAGTTTCTACACATGCTCCCAATCTGAGTCACAATATGCTATCAATTATGTGCTTTTACCTGCTGGCATAAACAATCCAAGACCTGTTGTGCCTTTGATGTATCTAACTACCCTCATTGATGCATCCATGTGAGACTGTTTAGGGGCATGCATGTACTGACTAAGTGCTTGGACTACAAAGGCAATATCATGCCTAATCATTGTAAAGTATAATAGTTTGCCAATCAACCTTTGGTAGTTGCTTCTATCCTCTAGTTCTTTGTCAACTGAACCATCATTAGTATGTAGAAACTTGTCTAGTTCCATAGAAGAGAGCTTGTGATTGAACTCAAGAGGAGTAGCAGCAATTCCACTCCCTGCTAAGCCCATTTCAGACACTAGCTCAAGTGCATACTTCCTTTGATTCATTAGAATCCCTTCCTTGGATCTAGAGAACTCAATACCAAGGAAGTACTTTAGTTCTCCCGGATCTTTTATCTTAAACCTAGCTTGTAGATCTTTCCTTATTTTCTGAATGAGTTCAAAGCTAGTGCATGTCACCAATAGGTCATCCACATATACTAACACAACTACAAGACCACATCCTATCTTGTGTATGAACAAAGAGTAATCATAATGAGACTAAAAAAAGCCCATGTCAGCCAATGCACTAATGAGCTTCAAGTTCCACTGTCTGGGAGCTTGTTTAAGCCCATACAATGATTTATGAAGCCTGCAAACTTTCTGCTGATGTTGTAACTCCCCCTGGCTGGCAAAGCCATCTGGATGTGCATGTATACTTCTTCAAGGAGGTTCCTTGAAGAAAAGCATTATGTACATTCATCTGAAAATGTACAAACCAGATGTTGCAGCCAAAGCCATTACATACCTCACATTAACCATCTTAGCAACAGGTGAGAAGGTTTCCTTGTAATCCAAACCTTCTAGTTGGCTATACCCTTTGGCAACCAATATAGCCTTATACCACTCCACCTCACTAGTAAAATTATACTTTACCTTGAACACCCACTTACACCCTATAGGAACCATACCTTGAGGAAGGTCAACAATAGTCCAAGTTTGATTAGCTTCTAAGGCTGAGATCTCATGGCCTCAGCATAACATATTGGCTCAATAACGGCTGAATAAGATGCAAGAGAGGCCATGTATGCAAGTGGCAAATGACCATGGGAAACACACTGAGAGATAGGATGAGGGCAAGAATAACCCTTGTGTAAGGCCCCCTAAACATTTTCCTAAAAATTGGGATTTCCGGGAAACACACTAAGAGATAGGATGAGGGCAAGAATAACCCTTGTGTAAGGCCCCGTAAAACTTTTCCTAAAAATTGGGATTTCCGTGATGCCGAAATAGGCATAGAAGTGCGCCGGGGAGTTGAAGAAAATATTAGGCAGAAGTAGGCATTTCTGCGGCCTATTCTGCGACCGCAGAACCACTTTGTGGACCGCAGAATAGTCGCAGAGTGGGTCAGTTTTCTGGGTCATTTTGATGTCAAATTTCGCGGCCATTATGCGACCGCATAACCACTTCGCGGGCTGCACTCTTGTCGCATATCCCGCTTTGGGAGTTTTCGGAGGGAGGTTTTGTGGTGCACTATGCGACTGCAGAACCATTGTGCGGTGCATTATGCGACCACAGAATAGGTCTGTGGGCCGCATAGTGACCGCAGACCGAGTTAGTCACGCCCAGCTTTGGAGGCCCGGCCGATATGCGGACCGCATATCAATTATGTGATCGCAGAACCTGTTCCGGAGCTTCATTTTTGAAGTTTTTAACCCGACCCTATTCTGTTAAAACACCTACCTTGGGCCATTTTGAACCTATTTTCTGATATTTTTATAGTGAGAGAGAGGGTCCTAGAGGGAGAAAGTGATCTTCATCAAATTTCTCTTTAATTCTCACTTAAAACCTTGAAGATATCTTCCTAAGAGGTAAGATTCTATCACCCAAACTCTTAATTTCAAAATGTAACTAGAATGGGCCATTAGTAAGGTAATTCATGGGGATGTGAGTGCTTACCTTGCATGTATGTGTTCCTAAGGTATGTGGGGAGGTTGTAAGTTAAAGATAGAAAAGAATGGGGTGTGGGTTGGTGGAGTCTTTCATAAAAAGGGGCATGAAACTTTAATACACACATAGTGTTTAATAGAATGCTCAAGTGAGCTAGAATTATGATTGTTTTCCTAATTTTGGGTTCAATTTGCTATGTTGCTAAGGCAGATTGAAGTTGTTAATATTCCGGAACGTCTTAGAGTTTTAAGAGGCTCAATTGAGGTATATTGGATAAACCCCCTTCTTCTTAGAATCGAATCCCATGGTGTTCAGGTAATTGGAGTAAGTCCTTGATCATTATTGAATTGGCTATTCCTAATGTGGTTGTGTTGAAGGATGTATGCTCAATACTTATTCTAAATGCTTCATCTTGTCATTTGAGGATGTGTTCAAAATTTGGAATAAGTGTTAGAAATGTTAAGACTTCATATCAAGATCGAAATAAAGATTGTTATGCCAAATTGTATGAAAAGCCTCTATGTGCCTAAGATTTTTCCAAATTGCTCATATGTGAATTTAATATCTTGAATGGGAAGCCCTATTGTTGTTGATAATGATAATGATATTTGAATGTGGAAAAGGGAACTGGAGCTATGAAATACGGCCAAGTGCCAAGAATGACTTTTTAATCATGATCACTAGTGCGAATGAATTGAAAAGATATGAAAGAAGTATGCTGTGAATTGATTAACTGAAAAAGGTAATGTCTTGGGTGAGACGGCCTAGCCGATTGGGTTGTGATCGGACGCCATGTTGCACACATGGTGGTGACTGTGCTGAGAAATGATAATTGAAATTGTGGTTATGGTTTATGTCTCAAATGGGACGACCTAGCCGATCGGGTCGAGATCGGACTCCGTGTAAGAATACGGAGGTATTGTGAATTGTGGTATATCGGCACTAAAGATCACCCAACCCAATAACATGGAGATTGACTTGAGAACTTATGTGATCCTTATTTGATGTTTTAGTATTGTTTGAAGCCCTTATTGAACTCATGACTGTTTTTTCCTTGTATTATTATTCATTCTACTGAGATGGTGTTTAGCTTTACATACTAGTACTATTCGACAGTACTCACGTTCCTTAGCTCCGTGGATCAAAGGAGCTAAGATGTTGTGAAGCATGACCTTTAACATCTATGAATTCCAAAACAGGAAATAAAGGAGAAGAAGTTGTATGCATATGTTTGAAAGGAAAGATATCCTCTTTGAACATAGTGTCTCTGCTAACAAAAATAAAGCTGAGAATACAGGTCATAGAGGACATAGCCCTTCTGAATAGATGAGTAGCCTAAGTGAATAGCAGGAACAGCTCTAGGACAGAATTTATCTGTTTTCCTCATGTTAATTGCATAACATAAACTGCCAAAAATCCTCAAGTGTTGTAAAGATGGAGTCTTGTGAAATAACCTTTCAAAAGGAGCTGCCCCCTTCAATACAATAGTAGGTAGTCTATTGAGAATATAAACATTAGTGGTGACATATTCTCCCCATAATTCGAGTATAACAAAGGCCTGAAACCTCAAAGCCCTAGCCATATCAAGAATGGACCTATGTCTTCTTTCAACTCTGACATTCTGTTGAGGGGTATATACACAGAAACTTTGATGAACTATGTCATGCTCCTGTAACAGATCTATGGCATATCTGTTAAAAAATTCAGTGCCATTGTCTGACCTTAGACACTTAATACAACTATTGAACTGATTTTTGACCAGCAATAAGAAGTTTCTCAGGATCACAATAGATTATGCCTTATCATGCATTAAGAATAGCCAGGTAAATATTTAATAGTCATCCACTAAGGTCATGAAATATCTCCTACCATTATGAGTAGAAACTCTGTGTAGCCCCCAAACATCAGCATGTATATGATCAAATGATTGAATAGAACAAGCATTACTGAGTGAAAAAAGAATTCCGGTTTGCTTAGCAACAGGTAATACAGTATAAACGTGTTCTTTCAACTGAGCATTATTCAAACTTCCTTTCTTCTTCAGAACTCTTAAAGGTGCATGACCTAGTCTCTTGTGCCGCAAAGAAGTATCATCTAGATTATCAGGAGAATTCTTATTTTTTGCAATATTATTGTTTCCATTTTGTTCACTAATAATGGTATTTAAAAAAGGAATAGAATGAATATGACTAAGATCTAACAACTGCCTGGGATCTTCTTGTTCCTTTGGCTTCAGAATGTACAGACCATGCTCCTCTTGACCAATCCCCATCACCTTCCTAATGAAGAGTTCCTAAAATATACAAAAATCAGGAAAGAAAGCAACCAAACATCCTAACTCTTTTATAACCTTTGACACTGACATCAGATTAAACTTGAAATCTGGAATATAGAGTACATGGTGTACTGACTTATCCTTGAACAATGAGAGATCACCAGTATGGCTAATAGTAACTTGTTCACCATTAGGAAGTTGAACTGTATTTTTGTTACTTTTTGATAGTTTTCTAATATTGCTCAACGGATTCAGATTATGAGCCATATGATTAGTAGAACCTGTGTCTATGATCCAATTACTGCTTACTAGGTGAGACATAGAAGATGTTATTGTACCTGTTGTATTCATTATTGAAGAATTAGCCATAGTTTCAACCTACTGTCCCAACATCTGCAGGATCTGATTATATTGGTTCTGAGTGAAGAAATGTGCTGAAGGGATACCAGATGTTGAAGAAGCGCCAGCTGCTGAAGCATGAGATGGAACCACACTAGCAGCCTCCTTGTGGACTGGATGAATCAGAAGTTATACTAGCACTATATGCATACGAACCTTTGGAATCAGGAGGACCTCCCCCTCCTTTCTTTCCCTTAAAGTCTGTGGGGGTATCCATGAAGCTTATAGCAATAGCAGTTATCCATAGTGTGACCTTTGAAATGGCAGTAGTCACATTAAAGAGTTGACTTTCTAAAGTTCTTTCTGGGCTTAAAACCATGATTATAACTACCAGAAGAAGTTTTGTTGCTCAGCAAGGTTGTAGGCTCACCAACACCAACAGTAGCATTATTTCTCCTCAGTCTCTCCACATTAATGATCATTGCATATACTTGATTTATGTTAGATACTGGTCTGGTCATTAGGATCTGATCCTTAGCATTATCATAACAATCATTTAGTCCAGTAAGAAATTAGTACATCTTTTGAAGCTGATAATGGTCTGTATTCTGCTTAGACTCTGAACAATCACATGAGGGAGAAGGAACTAAATTCTCATATTCATCCCATAACTCTCTAAGTCTTGAGAAATACTTAGACACATATAACAAGCCTTGTGTTAGCTTCACAAATTATTTGTGTAGGTAGAAAGATTTAGATGCATTAACTTTATCAAATCTCTCTCAAAGGTATTCCCAAACTGTGTGAGCATCAGAAGCATAGATTACAGAACTAAGTAAATTTGTGGCCACAATGTTCATTATCCAAGAAAATACAATAGCATTATACCTATCACATAGCTCATGCAAGTTAGGATCAAACATGTACTTTCTACAGGTTCCTAACATAAAACCTAGTTTGTTTTTGCCATGCAACACAATTTTCATTGATCTTCTCCACAAGGAATAATTTTCTGAACCTCAAAGTTGAATTGAAATAAGGACTGCACCTTGTGTGTCATGGATAAATATAAAGAGGATAATTATGGTGAACTAGGTCTACATTCTGATTGTGCACTGTCGAAGTGGATACAGTTGTAGCAGAGGAAGCACTTTCTTCAATTGTCATTGTAGTAGTCAAGTAGCAAATATACTTCAATCTCTTCAGTTGAGATCGAAAATTTTATAGTGAATCGAGATCCTCTTAGAGACGAGCAATCGCCCTAGGTCTCTGATTTAAATACGAGCTTGATTTGCGAGAATTCTCCACTTGCTTCTCTTCTCATCTTGCTTCTCCTAATAGCTGAAACATGAAGTATAACCGAAGCTCTGATACCATGTTAATGGAGCTCAGTTATGGAGTCGAGCAAATGAATGACTAGGAATGAGAAAGCAAAGAAGGAAGAATTAATTCTCTCTAGTTTAGTATTGTGCTTCAAAGATGGAAATGAAACACAACCTTTATACACATGAACTAACTAACTAACTAACTTGACTTAATTTAATCCTAACTAACTTCAGCTCATTGACAGCTGGTTATTGTTGTTTAACAACTTCTAACTAACCGCCTCAACATATTACTATATATATTAATACTTTGTACAAATTCAGCATAGAACAATTTTATTATAGTCTATCTTTAATTTATAATATATTCTATATCCCTATATAAGTACATAATATCATGTATATAATATATATTAGTATATCTTATATTAGTATATCTTATATACATGTCTCCGGCAAATCTGTCGACGACGACGGTAAATACATTATCTCTGAGCTCTTAACAGTACGATATTATGATTAACAGTACTGCCACTTCTACTCTTCCAATACTCTTTAATGCTCTCAAAATTTATAAAGAGATATAGTTTGCTATATAGACAACAAGAAAATATAGTGTGGAGTGAAATAAAAGAATTTTTCATCAAGAAAATCGAAGGCCGATATGGAGAATTGTGGGTTGTGTTCTTGTTGTACCTTATTCTTTTTTTAAGAAATTTAAACAAAACATAGTCTTTTAGGGATATGGATAGATATGTTTAGGCGAGAGAGAATCTTAAGAGAGGTATATTAGGGATATAAAAGTTGTATATAATTTAATAAAAAAGTTAAAACTTTAAAATAAATTTTATTTTTGTGATTTTTTTAAAGTATTTGTAATTCTTGTAAATCCCTTTTAGAAAGGTTGTATTTTGTTTAATTTCTCTTTTTTCCCCTTCTTCTTAAGTTCTATAAATCTCTATCTATCTAGGTGTCAATTACAACATGTTAAATTAAATCTGGACGAGTTTAAAATGAATTGAGTCAATTAACAAGTCTTGATCTGATCAGTTTAAAATGTGTTTGGTTTAGGAAAGGTTGCTACTGTATAGGCCAAAAATTATCCTAGTTGTATTTAGGCCATGTTAGCACTAAGTGAGCCTTCGAAGGCTGCCACATGTCATCAGTATGATTTCAACAAAAGACGGATACAAGGTCGAAATGATCTAACGAAAGATAGGGTCTAGGTCAAGGAGTTAGTAGAGATCGAGGTCGAGGTCGAGTACCCTCCTTAACAGAGCAGTAACGGCTAGTTTTGGGGATCTAACTTTAAAGAGAATATTTTAGTGAATATTCCTAAAATCTGTACTATTAGGGTTTTATGGAACATATCCTCTTATAAATAGAAAGAGACATAGTTATAGGGGAGATTGGATACTCATTTGTAAAAGAACAACACTTTGACATTCTCTAAAGATTCTTGCTTTATTATACAAATACAAAAGACACATTTTTTTGAGATTCTAATCTAACTTTTCTCCCACGATCCAAAGACAATCCGAATACTCAAAGGCTCATCAATCATTTATCATTGTCAGAGGGAATACCACACGATTTCATCTCTTTTCGGTCATCTCTCTTGCATTTATTTACAATAATACCATCATATACCATTTATTGATATTTAATGCTATTCACTTTGTATTTGGGCCATTAAATATTGTTTATTGTTACATATTCACTGTTGTTCCTATAGACCATAGGATATTTTGCCACGGTACACATTAAATAATCTTCTGAATATTAATATTAGCTAAGATTAACTTTATTTTATTGAAAAATCTAATTGTTTAAACATAGATCTAAATTATGGGTCAAACAGTTTGGCGCTGTATGTGGGGATTTCTTAGCTAATCTCTTAGTTTCCATTAGATATACAACTCACGTGACTTGATAACCTAACAAGCCACAAAGTTTATCTCTCCTCTCTGTACGTACATAAATTTCCATGGCAGGTAACCAAGAAAACGGGACTGGGGCAACAGATGACGTTCCCCTTAACCTCATGAACGCCATCAATGAAAGCTATGAAACACAAGGCGAGGATGTGACGCCCACTGCCTCCCCCAGGCGAGAGAGGTCGCCTCCCTCTTTTTGCAGTACAACGAAACTAAATGGGAAATGAGCTTCCACGTCTACAGGAGAAGGAACGCCACCTGCTATAAAAAAGCTCCTCGAAGCATGGCTAACCAATACCCTAGTAAGCGTGCTCAACAAACAAGCTCCATGCACGACCACACAAACCACAAGAGCCCATACGGTACAGCAAGGGGACGAACATGGCGATTAACCAGACCCCCCAACTCCATGTAAAACTCATAATGTTACTGACAGTGCAGGTGACAGCGTCCTCGCCGTTGTTTTGAAAAGGATGAAAGAACTGGAGAATGAGAACAAGGCGCTTATAGACCAAATGAAAGAACACCGGGAACGAGTAGACAAGATACCAGGCGCCCCTAAATTACTGCAGAAAAAGGGACGCCGATAGATTCGTAGAATAACTGTATAGCGAGAAAGTGGCCCCACATGCCATATCAAAGACCTTCAAAATGCCACCGTATCTCAGAATATATGATGGGACAACCGACCCCGAATACTATGTGACTCATTACATCACTGCTGTGAAGGGCAACGATCTCACCAAGGAACAGGTGTCCTCCATTTTGCTGAAGAAATTTGGTGAAACCCTCACTGGAGAGGCATTAACATGGTATTCACAGCTACCAGCCCGCTCCATAGAAACATTCGAAGAAATGGTCGACAAGTTCGTGACAGCACATACCGGGGCCAAGAAAGTCAAAATGGAGAGTAAAGGACGCCATCAAGAAATCCCTAGTAGAGGGACTGAGGGACTTCCTCGCCCGATTTAATAGGGTAAGGATGACCTTACCAAATATATTCGAGGGGATGACAGTCGCAGCCTTTCAGAACGGGTTGAGTAGAGAGGGTTCAAGAGCGACTAGAAAGTTGTTGAGCCGATTAATAAAGTATCCTCCAACCACTTGGGATGAAATCCATAACGCCTACTGTGCGAGGTCCGAGCAGATGATGACGACCTCAACAGACCAACTCGACGACTCATCTCAGTACAAACCGAGCCCAGGAAAGAACGAAGAGATAACATGAGGAGGGATTACCCAATCTCGCGGACAAATAGGGAACGCCATCAGCCCTATGTCAGGGCAACCACCCCTCCCTCCTTTCGCTATGATGATGGCCAGTCTAGGCCGAGGATGTGGACTCACAGGAATGAGAGATGTATGCCCCTTTGTTATCTGCTCACAATTTTTGTGTTTCACCTACTGAGGTGGTCTACGCCCTTGAGAAGCTTGGAACAAAGGAAGGTTCACACCTATGTGTTACAGGTTCTCAAGCAAACGAGACAAGGCTTAACAGGGCAAATTTGTATAGGTTTGATATCAACCAAAGGGTTTTCCACTTAATATTGAAATTCTCGTAGAGCATAGGTCCCTCATTATTAATCTTCTTATTGCATCGCACATAACCAAAATGGATTTTTTAGGGATATTATATCAAAAATATTATTTTTAATAAATGTTACTTTCTCTTTAGGTTATAAGTTAACGTGGAAAGGGCTAAAGTGGAGAGGTATAAGGCACGTAAATTTGTTTTATGACTTCAGAGAGTTTTACTATTGTATGAGTATTGACGTTTCTTTTTAAAAAATGTATTTAAGTTCTTTGTGTATATAATTTAAATCTTCATTCCAATTCCAGTTCTGTATAATCTAATTCAACTTGAATTTAACTGTCACTTAGCTCCAAGTAGAAGCAGCAACTTGTAACTTTTGTTCAAAATCTCATGAACCATTGTGGTAGATAGAATTTCTATTAGAAAATTTCAAAAATTTCAATAATTAATATCATTGTCCTTTGTATATGGGTGAAAACGATCCCGTGGGATGCCTCAATTTTTGATAAAGTAAACGGAGCAAGAAACGTGACTGCAAGGAATCGAAATCGAGGCAAGGAGCCCTCAAGTCGGGGTCCGGGAA